TCAAGGCTCTCTGTAGGGAGGTAGCAGATCTCAGGGAACACTGCTGAGGGGGGCAGCGGATCTCAAGGCTCTCTGTAGAGGGGCAGCAGATCTCAGGGAACACTGCTGAGGGGGGCAGCGGATCTCAAGGCTCTCTGTAGAGGGGCAGCAGATCCCAGGGACCACTCTGCGTGGTCAGGTCGGGCACGCTGCCCTTAACGCACTCGGGAGCAGGCCTTAACGCCGGCGTTTCTACAGGACCCATTTCCTGATGAGGCCTCGTTCGGGGGCACAGAGTCGACTTTGTGCTGTGTGCGGAGAGGTGTCTTGGCTTGGAGCTGATAAACAGTGCGTCGGCACTAACCCTTCGGCACTAGCCCAGTAAGCCAGCGATGATCGCCAGGGAACTGTGCCGGACCCTGGTAACTCCTCTCTTACACTGCCAGCTATCGCAGTTCGCTGCATGGTACCGTGTGGTGTGTCTCGGCCTCGTGATACAGCCCGGAGCTCCAGCCGTAGCTGAGTAAATTGAGTTACCCTGGTTTATTGCGGGGAACAGGGTACAGGAGGTGGTAAATGAGTGAGGTCCGGTGTCACGGTGGGGGTGGGGGTGTTCTGGTCCTGGTTTGGGTTGAGATCAAGGTGAGGGTGAGGTTGTACACTAACGGTTATGGTTCAGCTGCTAGAGCGTTTCAGCTGCTGCGTGTTTTAGCTTTTTTGCTGGTAGAAATGTATGGATTAACCAGCCACTTTGCTCAGAATGGTTCACCCTTGGTCTCCATCTGTGTGAAGGGCACCACTGACACCACAGTGCTCTGTTTTATTTGACTAAATCAGTGGTTCCCAGTCCTTGTCCTGGTCACCCACTCACACCTGCTGGTTCCAGCTGAGCCCTCAGTGACACAGTCAAACCCTTCATTGACTTACTAATACAATTGCTGTGAGCTGTTTGTTCCCAGCCATTATACCTGCTTGTTCCTTGTTGCTCTCTGTTGGAGCCTTAACTCTTCTGTTTCATAAGTGAAATAAACTTCCAGACTTGTGACAGGAAACGGCATGCAAATATTCAATTGAAACAACTTCAGTTGGATGGAATGAAAACCAGCGGGTGTCTCCTGGTCACCAGCACTGGGAGCCACTGGACTTGATGGTCACGAGTTGGGATTTGATTTGAGCTGCTGAAGTGGGCTTTAAGGGCACATCCTTCTTGTTATATTGGATCTGAGGTGCAGGGTTGATGTGAAACAAGACAAACTGGCTGAAAACTGGCTTCAGAGCATGACTCTGTACATCTGTCAAGATCAACGGTCCAGCCGGTGTTGTAGAGCTCTATAAATATCATTGAAGACCAGGTTACATGATCTTGATTGAGGTTTAATTGAACTCTCCTGAACAGGTGTGAAGCCGCTGATGTTCTAAGGGGACCTACAGAACCTGCTGGAGG